TAAATTCTCACTCACACTAAAGACTTATTTATGGAATAACAATTACTAGTTTTATTAACATGCAACGTTTCGACGTTGATACTCTGGTCTTTATCAAGCAAAATAACATAACGTCCGGTTCGACCGAAGTGATATCGCTAACTAACATGTAGATAAAATCCCAAGTATATCCAGGTATATATATGAAGTAAAAAAAAGCCACAGATATATCCATAATATAATAACAAGTATTTGATCAAAGCGACATGTCACGACATTGCAATAATAAAATAAAATTATTACATTTTATATAATACTTCCTTTCAGTTTAACCTACACTGTTAGCTAATTTGATTACCTCATCTCCATATCGATGTGCGTGAGAACTTCTTTGAGTGGCATTTAGTAATTGAACAGTAACACACTAAAACCTGTTCTCTCCAGTTGATTAAAATCGAGTTAACAATAAGTTATTCGGACAAATAAAACAAAAATCCATAGTTTTCTTGAATTCGTCTACAATCCGGTGATCACTTTATAGACGGAACCAATTTTGATTTTCGCTGTGTTATATATTTGCAGATTACTTTTCTTGGTTAAAATAACTTACACGGTGTAAAGAAAGGAATTGATGGAAAATAGCATGACAAATAAAACTCTGAATCCCACAATTCCTTCATCTGTCCCTGCTTGGTAGAGAAGCAATGCTATATATATATATTTGTGTTGCCCGACTTCATTAGCCCTGACCTTCCTCTTTACTGGTAATCATTGATTGGAAAACAGAGCCAGGGTAGTGAAAGTATCCTTTTTGACAATTCATACATCCTAAAAGGTGGTCTCTTATTGTGTATTATACGTCGAAGCTCTGATAAACACAGTAAGGTTAGGGGGCGCCCAAATAACCCAGTAATGCGCGGGGTAGGATATCTGTAATACCAATATGGATGCCGTTATCTTCATCAACCATATCGGAATTTACACTGACAGGAGTAATGAATATAAATTGTGACCTTGGAATTTTGATTGGAAAAGCACGTGATTCCTCATCACTCCCCGTAAAATACCCTCGAGAGTATCAATTATAAGTGTTTACATAACAAAAGGTTCTTTTAAAAATGCTGAAAACAACGGTATGGAAGGCGGAAAAAAAAATAAAAACCATGGGTCGCTGAATAGATGTAAAGAAATATCATCTATTGTGGTTATTATATAAGGTATATGGAAGAGGTTATTCCTTACCACAGTATTCGGGGTTAGGGCCTTTTATTTTAACATTGTATAATAAATAGGGTTAAGTCAACATAATAATAGAACATTGTATGTTAAATAGGGTTAAGGCAGTCTTTTATTGGGAAATGGATAATAAACAAGCACAGGAATTACTTCAATGATCTAGTGTTATTTATGAGTAATCGAAAGTCATAAATACAGTAATAACGAGGAAATTTTTATTCTTAACCACTAAAGTGATAAAGTAGTGTAATTGTGCGTGCAATTGACCAAGGGAGTGGGAGTGTTAATATTGACCGAAGCCACCTATTCTATGAAGTCAACGTGACTATAGCGCCAGTTTACAGGGGTAGCTTTACGTCATTCGAGAAAAAAACAACACTTCTTGTTATTCACCCCATGATCAAATTAATAAGAAATGACATTGCGTACACGTTTAGTTATATTTGATCAATTAATGTTAAAGCTTGCCAAAGACGGAAGTACATGTATGTTGAAAATGAAACGACCATGTGTTAATTGGTTCATCTTTTCACTCTTCCCTTAAGTTGGAAAAAACAGTTAAATGTTATTAAAGTGTTTCAATGGCATTTAGTAATTGAACTAGAGTATACAGGTCACAATTCTTTGGAATACAATTACTGAGCGACGTTTCGACTAGGCTTGATGACTAGAGAAGCCTAGTCGAAACGTCGCTCACTAATAGCCAGTAATTATATTCCATAGAATTGTGACCTGTATAAATGTTAGTAATGGCGGTGTTCTCAGTTAAGAAATGGCTTTCGTTCAACGTTTTGGGGGTTTTTTTTGTAGGCAAATATCAGAGAAGAGTTTTGGATGAGTATTTATAATATATAACATATATATGGTTAATCAATGGGGTGAACGCATGCCTGGTTACCTAATCATTTGGCAACAAATTAAAATTTCTTTTTGTTTCGTACTCTGAAACTAGGCGATTGCTCCTATTTTAGTGTTCATCACTCGTTATATTTAGACGATGACAAGCGACCACAAAGAGATCCAAAAGCTCAAAGTTAGGCAATATTTTATTTTAAGGCTGATAATACAATCTCCGAAATAACCCTTAGGAACATATGAGCTCTTAAAGCACGCTATATATTTTAGTTATCAACCATAACGCGACATAAAACAGATGATTATTCAAAGTACCTAAGTAATTTTAGCTTACACAATTCTTTCAGAATCCCCCAAAAAGTTACGAGAGCATCGCTAAAGCTGCAATATACGCCCACATTCCTGCTTTGACTGATATGACACTTTTTAAAATGAAGAGAATGAAATATGAAATGGCTGTAATATGACAAGAGGCAAAGGAGGCTAGGCATTGCCAAATTTTCAGACAAAATATTAACAAAAACGTGGGTGTGAAACTGCCCCAAGGGGTGGGGGCGCAGGGGGTTTGGAGGAGGGGGGTTGCATCAACATCACTAGTTGCTGTCCTTAGAGTATAAGGAATAAGTATACCAAGATAATCCATTCAGAATTGTGACTTTCGGGCGCTAAAGGAAAAAATTGGGCGTGGCTCCGGCCCTGGGAGTCGGGGCATTCGCCAAAATCTGGACGCCCTTTGGCTATCAGGAATACATATGCCAAGTACCAAGCTGATCCTATCAGAATTGCGGCCTGTAAACGACAAACACAAAAATTGGGCGTGGCTCTGCCCCTGGGGTCGGGACATGCAGTTGTCGCCCTTAGGCAATAAGGAATACACATCCCAAGTTCAAAGTTCATACCTTAAGATTCGTGGCCTGTAGGCAAAACACACAGACACAAAGAAAAAATGGGTATGAATGTGGACGTATAAAAAGGCTAAGTGAAAATATAGCATGTCAAATAAAAAGAAAATTAATATTATCAGTGGTATAATCATAAAAGAAAACCAAACACGACCATTTGAATTTTACGAAATACCCATAACTGGATTTATTTTTATTTTGTTTGCGTTTTTGTCAGTATAGGGATTAACCCGAATATCTTAATATGTTTAGTTTAACTTGTATAAATAAAATCAGAGATGTATGTGTGTTCGCCACCATTGACCACCACATGTTTGGTATCAAATTAACCTGTCTTCATTAGCCCAGTTTAGGAGCAGAACAGTAGGACGTTAAACCCCATTTCATTTTTATAACCAGCATAACCCCGTAAATGATTTTGACCATCGAATTGTTATCAGATCATCTAAATACTCTCATATAACTCCTGTTCTGAAATCACTCCATTGGCTGCCAATAAATAAAAGAATCATCTTCAAAATTCTGTCCTTGACTTATCAGTGTGTAAATGGCTTAGCACCAAAATACCTATCCAACCTTATGCAAATACGTGTTCCCTCACGTAACCTCCGATCAAACAGACTTCATCAGTTGTGTTGCCCAAGGTGGAAGCTAAAATCATTCGGATAGGTCGTTCCTTGGAATTACTAAAGCGTTACTATTTAAATCATAGATCTAAACGTACACTTCCTATTATCTACTCGCGCATATCGGACCGTAACTTCCTGGGTTATGGCCCCTGATTGTACGAAAAATCGCGCTTTTAGCCTGTGGTCCCGCTTCGAAGTCACAATTTGTTATACGATTTAAATATATATCGAATATATCACCGTTACACCCTAATGATGGTTGAGTTTACATTTCGTGAAAATCGGACCGATTTTTCCCGACAAAATGGCTGCTCTTTGTACGCACATAGTGTAAAATTATGTAATACCAAGGTTGTGGACTTCTAAAAGTCACAATTTTTATCCGATTTTGATAAAACTTGACATGTTTATATCCCAAAGATTTGGATTAAAAGCCCTGATTTATGTTTAGAAGTATTTCCAGGCTTTGCAAGCGAATAGTTTCAAAACAAAATCGCAAAATGCCGTTTACACATAGCGATTTAAGTGTTAAACATTTACTTTTAAAATTAATAAAACCTTATTACAGACTCTATAACTAAAATATGGAGTGCACTTTTGAACTATAAAAATTTACATTCAACAATAACTCAGAACTATTTCTCATTAACTATTTCAGTTTCCGTCTTCGCAAATGCAAATAGCTTAACATTTGAAACGATGCGGGTGTGACTCTCAAGAGGACGTTCTTAATATAATATCCCAAAAAGATTGTTTTCATTGGTATTTAATTTAACTTAACGGTTATTTTCGACATTCGGGCATATCTGACCTGGATTATGGCCCCTGATTGTACGAAAAATCAGGTTTTTAGCTTGTGGTCCCTCTAGAGTTCATAATTCTTATCCGATTTAATAAAAAAGAAAAACGTTTAAATTAATCACCGTTACATCCTAATAATTGTTGAGTTCGAATTTCGTGAAAACCGGACCGGACCTGCCCAACTAATTGGCTGCTCTTTGTACGCAAATAGTGTAAAAGTATGTAATACCAAGGTTGTGTCCGATTTGGATGAAACTTAAAATATATGTTTAAATACAAACCATCTCAGTTCCTGTCGATATTCGTGCATATTATGACTCCTGATTGTAAAAAAAAAATCACATTTTTTTAGATCGTTCTCTATCCATCTCTTGCAAAATGTGGGCGTATCTTGCATGGCAACCGCTTGTATCTTGAGCATTTATATTTCAAAACATTGTAACTATAATCATCAGTCACAATATAAATTAATAGAACATTTATGCATTGCTTTTACAAAGGATTGAATTTTGGTGTTATACACTTGAGCATTTCACTCACTTTTTTTTTTTTTTTTTTTTTTTTTGCATTTCATTCACTTTTTTTTTATCCATTTCAGAAAGTGTCAGTATTTGTATCAGTATTAACTTTGACTGCCATTTCTTTGGAAAGGTGGATGGCAATATGTAGACCTTTGTGGTTTCGACAAACTTCTCTACGTTCCAGAAGGATTATGGTTGTCATTTGGATTGTATCTTTGGGGGTTGCTATTCCAGATTTGGTTGCCATGACGACTTTAAAGGCGTATGCACCCACTGGAAAGGTTATAATATGTGGTCCGTGGTGGAACAAATTACAGGAAAAAATTAACATATTATTTATGTTTGTTGTGTTTTATGTGATTCCATTGCTCATAATGACATTTACTTACGCAAAAGTCGCCTTGTGTTTATGGCGGAGTGCTTCATCTAAAGACGACATCGAATCAGGTAAAGATTTGTTTACATTTAACCCAACAGTACACCTACATAATCATAACCTAAACTAGGTCATACTCCCGTCACAGAATAACTGGGATTCAACGTCCTGTTTTGCGCCATCCGGGCTAAAGAAGGCAATGTGTTGTGTGGGAAATTTAGTCCGTACAGCAATATAATTTTAACTGCCAAATGTTCTTTTGCGTACATGCCAAATGTGTACAAAGGACCCCGGCTTTTCCTGCCCTAACGACGAGACGCTTTACCTTGCCAGGCCCTCCGCCATTAACAAGGGTAAGCCACTATTGCCAATTTGCAGAAACACTCTCTGCTCTTCTGATAGCAGAAAATGCGATATTCTAATTTTTATTCTAGCCCCCCCCCCACACTGCCCGTCCCTTTATCGCCACGGCCGGCTTATTCATTTATTCGGCAATATGTACATCGACTGGTTCATTTTAATAGTAGATCATGAATATAAGATAAATAGAGCAACGATCGGAATTCCCCTTTAGCATATCTCCTACTGGTAACGTTAATTAAATCATTTATGATTAAATAATAAGCAATTATATGATTCTACAAAAAGATGTGTTAACCCTTCCTACGTTACTTTGATAAACCTGAAATATGTTAGGGTTAGTTTACATCATTTTGTAACCGCGATGAGTCAGTGTGTTAGGCGCTTGCTCGCTTACCAGGAGATCTCAGGTTCGCTCCAGGTAAAGACAGAAAGTTTATCGGTGTCGTTTCCCCTTATCAGTTATGTAGGCACAGTGCCTAGTCGTTGGAATGGAGCGAAAACCCGAGGTCCCGTATACACATTAAAGAACACCTGATAGTTTCAAATATGAGCAGGCCATAGCGCAGCTGGCTGGGCAAAATGTCCCTTATAGAACACGACATGGCGTTTGTCCTTCCTTTTCCGGTTAGTGTAGAACAATAGGACGTTAACCCCTACATTCTTTCTTGATCAATTTATGGTAATGCTCATCCGTTTCATTAACGATATCATTATACTCACGGTATAGTTCCATCGCTTGATTTCATCCTGTTTAATCTTTGAGTGACGTCGAGTAACACGGAAATCCTTCTAACTCCATATCAAAGAAGAAACTGTAATATAATTTATTTTATCCAGGACTCGAAAAGGAATTTTCAAATTAAATGCAAATGGATTCAATTTAGGTGGGTTTTTTACCGGTGAACCTTCATCTGGTGTGATAATTTGTCCTAGTTGGTTTTTCTCATATATTGAATATTTTAACGCATATAGAAACTCGCTACGTTGTTTGTTCGCTGTAAGACATCCACTGATGATAGGGATGATGAATGCGTCTAATTCTTGCTAACAGAGCGAGATTGTTTGGTGCTCATGCCACACTCGTCTACAAGATTCTAAAACTAGTTTCCAGTGTATTTATTTATAGAAAATGGGCGATTTAGTAGCTGGACGGAGGACTTTATATTTAATGTTTAGCGCTTTGACATGGCACACATCATCCTTATCGTCATCTCGGTTCTTGTCAGACTACTACATTGGATGTTGAGTCACACAATATTATCGATATTATCACATCCCTTTATACAATTCACACTCGCGGCAAACTTGTGTGACTGGTATTCAAACAGTCTTCAGAGCCCTTTATCATCGTTCAAAGGAAATGTAGGAAGTTCTGTGTGCTTGAAAAACTGTCTTTAACTCGGAGGCATACACAGCAGCAACTTACAACTATCCTTTCTGTTTTGTTGTTTTCCATGGAATGGAGTAATGCAATTTTGCAGGTTATTACTCTGTTTTAATTTCCCCTTGGCAAAGTTTACAAACGGTATCGAATCGTCGTGGTTACCACATAAACCAACGAAAAATTAAGGGAAACACTCGCAAAGAGCTACATAATCCCTACTAACTGCTTTGGCGATCATTTGTCAACGGTGGCCAAATTCAAATAGATTTTGGCGCTTGCTGTTCATGATTAAAGCTGCTTTCTTTTATCGGGAGCCACGGTGGCTAGGTGGGTTAGGCGCTGGCTCGCTAGCCTGGAGGTCGGGTGTTCGATCCCTGTCAGTGATGCAGGACCGAGATCCCGTGGAAACATTGGAATGCACGTAAAAGATCCCTTGGCAGTTGGAATTCGATATAAGAGTAGGCGATAGTGCCGCTGCCCGGGCAAAATTTCCCTCATAGCACACTGTATGGCGTATGCCCGTCTTCATTAGCCCAGTATAGGAGCAGAACAGTAGGACGTTAAACCCCATTTCATTTCTTTTCGCTTTCTTTTATCCGAGAACCAGTGAAAACAGGGATTTATTCTTTTATTGGAGTTAAAGTCACACCTATTTAATTAAAAATGTTCGATGTGCAAAACACATTTTCGTGTCTAAAATGTATATCAAATGTCGATAAATTTTTTTAATAAACTGGCGATTATGGTGATTAGCCTGGTATCAATGAAACTATAAATATAAAAGTAACCTCAATTTTTCGACTCATCGTATCAGATGGGTTTAATATTTAACCTGTACAAGGATTCGAGTGATACTGTCGAACAGCCAAGCGGCTGTCTAGGTTGGAGAAATGGTTTTAGCTAGTATTGTAATCTGTGCTATGCTTGTATACATGTATTCGGCTATGCTATATAAAATGTAAAAACGAACTGTTGCATTGTTATAACTGAGGAAGACAAACGTCTTAAGCAAACAGTAAAAAGTAAATACACAACGTGAAGCAGAAGCAAAGACAGCTGGAGACAAATTCTAGACGATCACAAGGCTACAGAAATATGTAGTAAGAAAAGATGCATGGGTCGTACGTAGGATGTGGCGACCGGTTTTAGTTCGTGTCTGCTCTCCACGTCAGACAGAAAGGCCCATGGTGCTACACTGGTAGCTTGTGGCTTTTTATTTGGCTAGGTCTATTGACGATTGGGTTGTACATACAGTTGTTTATTAAAACCGGATGTCCTTTCCGAATACCGACAAGCATTTGGAAATGGACAGGTTTAGATGAACACTTTTCTTAATAATGTTTAGCACTCAATCTAGTCTAGTGATTGTTCGATATGTTATTTTAAAATTAAAGCATTTTTGTTTTAATTTCGAGAAAGGTTAAGGTTTCTTTCATTTAGGTACAGTGGACAAATTATTTTCTTAATAGAGAGAATAAGATTCAAAGCGATAGAGGATGCAGTTTACTTCGCACCAGTCCACTTACGAATAGGTCTTAGAAAATTTAGATTCCTCGCACTAACGGTGATGTTTATGTCACTTCAAGTCATCATTAATAATGAAAAACAATACTATATGACATTATAATTTGTAGCATGTTGCGGACAAGCTTGTTGGCGTCGTCTATGGGATGAGGGGGGGGGGGCAAATATTTAATCAATGCTGTGATATTCTGTACAAAACATTGAGAATTAAAGAAGAATCTTAGGGCGTAAGGTAATAAACGAAGACGTTATAAAACAAAATAAGTATTTAGGAGTTAATAACCAATTCAATTGGTGAACCGCTTTATTGTTTCCATTCGAATAATTCCATACTTGCGGCTATTACTACTGTATGCATATGGGCTCAAGAACAATGCAGGTATTAGCATTTTTTACCATTTGGAACATCACAAGTAGCTAAAATGAACATCAAAAATAACTGTATGATACATATCTGTCCTTAAAATGGCTTTTAAAATATGTCATTAAAAAAATACTTTTTTCCTATGGGAGACACAGAAACAATTTATTGTAATAACTAATGGTGATTCAAACACGACATACTTATACTTTTTATCCGACAGAAAGTACTTAAAAGAATAATGAAATGAGGTTTAACGTCGGACCAGTCTGCATCAGCCGGGATAATGAAGACAAACATCATGCTGTGTGCTATCAGGGAATTGTTTCCCGGAAGTCTGTGTTTACACCTACTCATTGTCTAATTCCAACTGCCAAGGGCTCCTTTAAGTGCAGAGGGATTGGGTGGCAGAATGGTTAGCATGCGCGCGCTGTATCATACGGTTTGTCATTGAGTCAACTGGCGGGGTTTCGATTCCCCGGTTGTACGTGACAAAGAGTAGGGTCGCCTGTCCAACCTCGTGGTTTTTCTCCTGGTCCTCCGGTTTCCTCTCACTGCTAAAGGCCCCTACGCGCAATAGAATGATTGAAATAAAATTTAACCATGTGTTAGTCCCGAAATGACCTAGTTTGTGTCGAGTGGACGTTAAACCCCATCTCTCTCTCCTTTAAGTGCACCCCAATATCTACACGGGACCTCTTTTTTTTTTTGTCCCATCTGAGCTACTAAACGCTTTGCCTCGCCGGATTCTCCGTTTTGTTCCTTCCACTGCCGAGGGGAAACCACGCTAAAAAAAATCTCAAGGAACTTTTTCTTCCGACACCTGGTTCAAGCCCGGGACTTCATGGTTAGAGAGCTATGGCTAACATGGTAATTGATACAAATTCTCTTTATAATTTAAATTAAACACAATAATATCACATTGTTATACTTGAGATTAACAGGATTTCAGATTTACTGTGAGTTTAGTGTGTTTTGTAAAGATAATGTAATATTAGTTTTAGCTGGTTGGGCTAAGCTTGACCTCGACACGTTTTCAACAACTCATTCAGCACATATTCTACCTGTATTACGTTTATGTTGGTAATGCCGTTATTCGGAAATATCTTGAAATCGGCACAAAATGTCCCAAACCTTACACTATCGGTCAGTAAAGTACATATTAGTATCTTACATGGTTTGCATCTACTGGGACTTTTTTCTATTATTGGCTCAGCCTTGGGATATTGGCCCAGCGCATGATAACTGAGAGAAAAAACATTCCCTTGGCGAGTATACAGAGAAACCTCACAAAATCTTATATTTTATGGAAAGATTGATGAAAGGAAGGGCTTCTTGTGTTCAAAAAACCCCTTTGGGATCGTTTGTTATGGCCACGCTTCTTATAACTAAGATGAAGTATACTCCAACGGGGACATAGTATAGCCAAGTAAAATCTC